AGACAAGCAATGTTCATCCATCCATGCTTGCCAAGCCATTTCTCCCATAGTTTATCTCGAATAGTTCCTATGAGCTTGGATTCATGCGCTTGTGTTTATCTGTAGCAACAGCAAAGCACATGTGAATATATGTTCAAATGTTTAAGCATAAGAAACTTACAAATATATCTAGCAAAGAAGGGAACGCCCTTGTGTATTAAAGGGGGCTATGTGGATGAATGTTCATTGTTCTCATTTGCTTGTTGGCCATGGCAAGCATCAGTAAATTGTTGCTGTACATAGCTGGCGTTGCGCCACAGTTAGGAACAAGTGATATGGGTATGTACTGCGATATCGTTGTCCCAAGCCAAGCTTTGTTGGTCGGCAATACTACTGACACGTAAGACATAGAAAATATGTGTTATGAGTCGGGATCGTCGGCTATTGGTAATTTTGTCCCTTTGTGTAGAAAAGTGACAATGTGCATGACCTTCGGCTATGTTATGTACATATTGTGGGGTTAGCCATACATAGTGTCCCTATAGCCAGAATGACAATAGTGGCTAGCTTTGTCCATGGCTGGAGTGTGAACTATGTGGAATCAAAAGAGCACTCCCACTCCTTCGCCAAGCTTCGAAGGGGTAAATCTTGTTAAACCAGACTCCACCATAACGATGAATATGTATAGAGAAAGGTGGAGTTGTTTCCATGGAAAGGGGATGCCAACCGCATCCATGGCCTCCGATACGACAAGGTGTGACACTACTGACAAATGTTGGCCCTTCTTGTTGTACCCACAGTGTTAGAGGGTGGTCTTGGTTGTTGTTGCCCATTGGGCACCACACCACCATGCACAGGCGACCACCAAGGGATCACCGGTCGCTACTTAATGGATTTTATCACTGGAGGATAGCCATCCCGTCCGATCGTAGGTTTGCAACTGTTACCAACCTCACGCTAATTGTACTGAATTGTGCTGACTCTTTGTCCATTTTCGGGAGCCAGTAAGATAGAATATGTAGAGATCTGACCCTTTGCCCATTGCCAAGAGCCGGTGAAATGAAGATATGTAGAAATGTGTAGCCTTTTATCCATTGCTAGAGGCTAAATGAGATAATAAATTTGGTCTTTTGTCCATCAATGGGAACCATATGTAGAGATAGATGCTTGGCTCATTGCCCATCGCAGGGAGCTATGCAGATCATATTGTTCCCCTTTGACGGAAGCCATGTAGTTAAAGCAGGCTTTTTATCCATTGCTAGGAGCCACAGGATATAGCAGTGAATATCGCTGTAGAGGACATGACCATCAAGAAATGCCTAGCGATGTTGCCAAAATAGATCTAGTCATGTCTGGCCATGTATGTGAAAATTGATGCTGAAGTAGGTTACATTTTGTGATATCTCCAGTGAAGTGCATGGGCGTTGTTTCTGGCGATGCTGATTCCATTATAGCAATTAGTAGAAAATAGGAACTACATGTCTAATGTGGGAAATGAGCATTGTGGGCCCTAGCTGATGTGGATCCGCACACGTCATTGGTGTTGCAACCATACAAATTCATCTTTCAACAACCATGATGCGATATGGCAGCAAATAATGTGGGAATTAGGCAGAAAATAGAACAAATTTTTGGGGAAGTTCTGGTCAGATTTTGAATAGGAAGTTTCAACAGAATTCATGCTTAGAAATTGACAAATTTGGGTTGAGTGGTTGACAAATAAATTATAGCTCTATGTCTTAGCATTCTATAGGATCAAGAATCACCTTAATATAATGTCTACCATGAAAGTTATGGCCAAAATACTAACTTAGGGTTGGGCTCCTAGTTTTGTCCACCTGCAAGAATTGAATTTGTAGTAGAGTTTTCAACATAAAAACAGCTTAACTGGGTTAAACATTCAACATAAAAATTGTAGGGCTATCTCTTAACTTTCTATAGAATCAAGAATGAACTCAATCCAATATCTACAAAAAGACTTATGGGTAAAACACTACTACAAGGTCATGCTATCAGAAGTTCTAGCAAAAGGAATCAAATCTGATGGCACTAGGGTCAAACCAAGGAGAAAAACTATAGAAAAGTCCCAAAATTAAAGACCCTAAAGGATTAGAATTAACTCAATTCAAATTAAGAATGAGAAGATGAGCTATACAGATGATTTCTTACTAGAAAGTTGTAGAGGAGCACCCACTAGGCATTCAAATCATGAACAAGGAAAAAAAGAACAGAAAGTGGTGGTCTTGATGAGAAGAAGCAGCATTAGAGAGAGATTAGAAGGTTGACGGCTTCAAGGGTTTTGAATTTAGGATGGAAAAGGAGAGGAAAACCAGAAAAAGAAGAAAAAGAAGACCTCGAAAAGGAAACTAGGTTTTCCTTCCCCTTTAATCTGTTCGTGCTCCCCTCATTCTCCTTTTTCTTTTGCTACTAATGTCCCCCAAGATTGAAGAGTTAGACACCTTGGTCCCCTATTAAAATCCCTTTTTATATTAGTCATCTAATATCTAATTTAATTAATTACTTAATTATTTCACATGAGTGCTAAAATTTTGGGGTATTACAATCCTACATTCAACAAGTCCCTTGTTGCTGATTATCTTGAAAATAATACAAGCATGTGTGCCTCTTGTTATTTGGCAAGATGTTCCACATCGATAATACTAAAAAATGCCATTTTTCGAATTGTTTTACTGATAAATGGTACGTTGCTATATTATTTTACTTTGAAAAAACTATAAATTTATAATTTTCTTTTACCAATATTATGAATACATATTTCCTAGTTACATTAACATTTAAAAAAATTTAATTAAATTTTTTAGCTTGTCATTATAGAATTTAACAATAATGTATTATTTAATTATGAAATTTATTTTTTGTGATTATAATCACTAAATAATAAATTTCATGATATCTCTCACTCATAATATAATAAATTATACTAAAAAAATTATAAATGAATAATTAATATTTATTTTTACCACTATATCTAAAGTTTTAGGTAAATGCATTTAAAATAAACATCTCAAGGCAATTAATATTGGTTTAGGGAGCTTACCAAACTTAAATATTTTTACTTTAATAAGATTTACCTACAAAACAAAAAGATTACCAAAAATTAATAATTATTATATATATAGTTTTTTTATAATTTTATTAATTCTCAAATAAATTGAAACATACTCACTTAATGTTTATAAAAATATTGAATATAATAAAATCACAATATATGCCTCAAGAGAATGAAGAAGTTGATGAAAATTAATTTAATTACTGATATATGTTTGAGAATTTTATGATAAAAGATAACAAATAATGGTGCTTGATAGATAATTAATGGGAAAAAAAAAAAAGAGTGAGATATGGAGGATTTGTGTAAAAATGAAAAAAGAAAAAAAAGGCTAAGAGCATATCATGCAGGAGACAATGGGAGGAGAAATGAAAGCATTGCTTAGCTCGGTTGGGATGGGAGTATATATAAAGCAATTAGCAACATATTCCATGTTGGTAAAATTTGGTTGAATTTGAAAAGGCATAACTCATCACCGACGTGTACCATATTGCTAAAAATTCAAATTACCCTTTCTCGCCCATTGTTTGATTCATATACTTAAAAAAATTTATTTTTATCTCTAAAATTTGATTTCTTTATTGATTTTTGTTACTTTATTAAATATTACTTAACACATTAATTAATATAATTATGCTATTCACTCTTTATTTAAATGATTTAAATCTTTAATTTATCTAAAAAAATAACATGAACATACTTTTGAGTTTATAGAAACATTTTACATAGAAATATTAAATATTTTTTGCTTACAAGTTGACTATTGAAAATGAGAGTCAAATTTCTCCTTAAGAGTCAACTCCTCACATGGAAAGTCGACTCTGCCCTGTGTCTAGAACTTCTCAACTCTAGAATTTGGAAGTCGAATCTTGACCTTCTAAAGTTGACTCTATGTGCCTCCTTAGAATCAACTCTTTACATAGAGAATCGACTCTACCCTGAGTCCAAAGTTTCTTGACTCTCTGGAATTTGGGAGTTGAATCTTAACTTTTTATAGTCGACTTTGGGTGCCTCAAGAGTCAAATATTACTCTTTAGAGTCGACTCTTTACCATATAATGGCCGAAGAAAGGTGTATATAATGGCCTTGGCTAATGGTTGGTCAAAGCAGTAATATTAGCAAAATATTCTTTATTGTTAATTTTTGGTTGTTCAAAATATAGGAATAACAGTAACATGGATTTTGTTGGTAATATCTAACATTAGCAACATGGTATATGTTGCTAATGCTTTAAGTGACTAGAAAATTACAGTAACATGTTTCTTATTGCTGAAATTCACTTTTAGCAACACACCCATTGTTAGTGGAGCTCACTTTTAGATGAGAATATGCATTGCATAATGACTAGAAAATTATAGCAACATGGGGTATGTTGCTGAAATTCATTTTCAACAACATACCCCTTGGTACTGAAAGTGGATCTCACTTTTAGATGAGAATATGTTTAGTATAACTTTCAACAATATAGTACTTATTGATGAAAATCTATATCACCGACAAACACATCCATATTGCTGATAAGTAGTTGCTAAAAGTGTGAATTTTAGCAGTGCGAACCCTAACTTGAACCGAATTCTTAATATCACAATAAATAAATTATAACATTCTCCTCCCTTAGTTCTAATTCTCAGCGTCATGTAAATATATAAAATAGTTAAATTTGAATAAAGTGTTGTAATATCCGAAAGTCAAGAAGAAAATTTGTTGTAGCAACTTATGAGTTAAGTTATAACTAATTTCCAATAAATAATGTAAACAGAAAAAGGGTAAAATTAACACTTTAAATATCATTATTCTTTATAAATTTATTTAAATAATCTTAATAAATTTTTTTTAGTATGTTAATTTATTAAAAATATTTTAATATTTCTTATCAATCCTAATATTTTAATTAATTTTTCTCATTCCTTAATTTAAAGACTATAAAGTGAAAAGTTAAAACACCTGTATTCTTTGCGTTCTTCAAAAAATGATATGCGAACGAGCTCTTGGACGGGGATTGTGCAACCTTCTCCGCTCCGGCGAGCTCTGTTCCTCTCTTTCTATTTAGCTGCCTGGTGGTGGTTGCGATTCTCTAATCGGGCTGTGAATTGTTTCAACCTCTTCCTCTGGTTCCCCAATGGTCGATGGTTGAGCGGCAGCGATCAAAGATCTGGGGGCGGTTAGCTTGTGGACGACAAAGTTCAACGGATTTAAAGGTTGTGGCGGTGAATGAAAGGATATCCGGGAAAACCACTCATCATCCACATTCAATAGTTTCTAACAGTCAGAAACCACATGCACAGCTTCAAATTTTAAAAAAAATCTAAACCGCTAAACGAAAACCTCTGAAATCACTGCGCATTCGTGAAAGAGAACTGTAGATCCTGTGAGAAAAAAAGAATAAAACGAAGTTGAGAAAAACAAAAAAAGCAGCTCCTACAATGCATAAAAGCAGCTTAAAGAAATGTAATAGCTAGGTTGGTAGAAACGTAATAGCTAGGTTGGTGAGATGACCCTTATTGGAACAAAATTAAGTAATTTATAGATAATTTGTAGTTTGTAGATTGTAGGCGAGTCTGGTTATGCACAAAATTAAATTGTAAGATCAATTTATTTTAATTTAAAGTTTAAAAGAATTAATAATTAATAAATATTAAATGTTTATTATTTAATAAATTAAAATTAATCTATAAATAAATATTTTCAAATATAATAACTAATTGTTTAAAGAAACAACTTTTTTGTTTATTTTTAATAGTTAGGATTTATTTAAAAAAATAGTTAGAATTTAATTTTTTAATTTTTAAATGTAAATTTTAAATAAGAATTTAATAATTTATATAAATAATAATTAAATTCTTTTTTTTATTTTTAGCTTTTATTAGATATTTTATTTGATAAAACATTTTTAATTATTATTTATACAATATATTAAATTTTTATTTAAAAATTTATATTTTTAAAATTAAAAATCAAATTAAAACTATAAATATAAACTAATGAAGTATAAACTAATAAAAAATTAATATGTTTTACAAAATATTTATCGCAATAACTAGGGTCATTGTGGTTGAGAAAGACTGCCCTTAAATACAACGTCAGCGGCGGCAGCCTAGTTAATGACAGCACGTCACAGCATCACTTTTTTTTTTTATTAAGGAAAATAATTTAAAAATAATTTTTT